GCACATTATACAGTTGTTTCTGTTTCAGAAGTTTTTATTAATTACAGAAAAAGGCATTTGTTTTTGGCACTCACTGAACTCTATCATGTCCATGTTTAGAATCTTTCTCCTCAGTATCTGAAAGGACCCTTGTGATATCCAAGGCATCGAACTACCTTGATATCTAGAAATTAAATCGCTGTTTTGATACTAGACATTTTGACTTTGAATTGCTGTCAGGGTGTTAAGGACAATGCTCTAAGTTTTCCGGGTTTATATGTTCACAGTCATCGATTACATTTTTATCGGGTTCCTTAGTTTTCAACCTACACATCTCACTCCAGCTTTTTTAGCCTTTAGACGTTCCAAGAATTGCGAGCCCTGGTAGAAGACAGTAAGCTTGTTTGTGTATCATGTTTATTTGAAGGTCATGGCTTTCTCTGTTTCCTACTTGATTCTGCTGCTTTGGGTTCCTCAGATTGTCAGGTGATAGGCTTCTGGTTCTTCTGAGTCTGTGTTGAGCTTAAGGAGAAAGACCCACGTGCAGGAAGACCGGCCCTAAGAAATCAGAATTACCAGGGCCAGCATATCATGACATGCATGGAAGAAAGTCATGCAAAGAGGATGATATTGATAGAGAATTGTCACAAAGTGCTATTTGTTTCATCATCAAGTAAGAGCAAATATGTGCAGCTTTATATACATTATAGTTTCTATTCTTATTAGGAAACTGATCTCTGTGGCTTTCCTGATCCTCTGTGCTTATTATCTGTCTCTCCTTTGGTAGACTGCTTTGATAAAGTGGATAAAATGGTTTGCTTTTGAGTGTCCGTCCATTCTCTGCCCCATCCCAGGAAGCTACATTTGAGAATAGTTTGAAATCACCTGCATAGTATGAGTGTGTTTTTTCATCCTTTCCAGAATAGCCAAGAATTCCTTCCTAGTGATGTTATATTATCCTGCAGACTTTTTTTGTGCTGCCCTCCTTCCTGACCTCCTTGTGAATGAGACCCATATAACGGTACCAACCCAGCAGTGACTCCTCCATCTGATTAGCACAAGGTTACTGAAGTGATAGACTGAAAACCGCCCAAAGCCAGTGCCACAGAGTGGAGCCTCCCGGGGCGTGGGGCTGTGGGCACAGTCTAGAAAACACGGCCAGAAAGATTCTTGCCCCTTTAGTCTGTTTTATTCACCGGTTCTCTTTTTTGTCCCTGGATAACCAGTGTACCATTCCCAGGGAGTAGGAGCTGCAGATATAGGTCCGTGTACAAATTCATGGGAAGACACAGATGTGGGGCAGTGCAGTTTTCAGATGTGAAGAACTTTTAGGCAGTGAGAACTCGGGGTACTTTTTTGCTGAGTAATGATCTCCACCCACTGGAAATCAGGCCCCAGGGGAATAATCTGGTAATTTCAGTATACTTACTACATGCAATTAGATCCCTGAAGCAGAAGCCTTTAAAAGCAGGCTATAAAATGCCCATGTATCTTTATTAAGCCCATTTTCTAACTGGATGGAGAAACTTTGCTTAGTAATTTTTAATTTTATAAAGTCTATATTTTCTCTAGACCAAGAACAAAAAAATGGGCACTAAAAGCTTAGGTATAACAGGGTTATTTTTTCTGTCTCCAAATGATTAAATGCAATTTCATCTATTTAGGAATACTATAATTGTGGCAGCATTAGATAATGTTGGTAGATACAAAGAAAAGCGAAGGATAATGAGGTAGCAAAATTTTTACCCTCTCTCTAAGTCAAAAATTCCTAATACATTCAGATCAACAATAAAAAATATTGCCAAATTGTCTCCTGAAATGGAATTAGATTTTCTCCCCAAGCATTAGCACTTTCTTGTCTTTCAGAGTGAGCCACTACTATGCCTTCAGAGGATTAATCTTGTGGCTTTATTTCAGAGCTGACTGCCATAAGGAGGTGCTATCAGGACAGGACACTTGTCAGTGTCCTTGCTCAAGGCAAGGGACAGGAGGACCACTAGAATGAGAACGATGCTCCCTACACTTCCTGCTGAGGAGGTCATAGGGAAGAGTGAGGGTAATTTTCATTACAGAATCAAATACAAAGTAAGTTCAAGTCACTCTAAATTATTCTATGCTTGCTAGAAAGCTAACCTTCTGAAGCTTCAGTTGGTTGCTGACATCTTCCAACCAGGCTTTCTGGGACTGCTCGGGTCATGGCTACCATACGGCAGGGCAAAACTCCTTCACAGCAAACATCCAGCTGTATTTTATAGTTCATTCCCTTTTTAAACAACCAGGTATCTGGGATGCTGTGTTAACGTTAGTAATGAATTTTCCAATATCTTCCAGTCACCTTTGCAACTTGCAAGTTGACTTAAAGGGGAACAAAGTAAGCGTCTGGAATGCACATCACAGCGTTCTCCCTCTTGGCCCATCCTCCCCCTTCACCCCCCCCCCCCCCCGCCAAACCAGCATCGGCCTCTGATCTCCAAGAACCAGACAAAGGCACAAGCTCCTATTTCTCTCTGTGCAGCTCAGGGCTTGAAGGCTCTTCCTCCCTCACGGAATTAAAAAAAAGTTTCAACTGTTAAAAATGGAGAGCAGATTCATTCTCCGGCTACACAGTTTTCCTCCTACCATCTTATAGTCTGTGGATGCTAAATTACAGATTGCAGTTTAATTTGAATTCTTGGAGCTCTCTACATTTGGGGGTCACTTGGACAGCATTCAGGGCACACCCACAAGCACTCTGCACGGAAGCATTGGTATCCAGAAAGGGCAGTGACCTACAAATTAAAATCAAAAGAAAAAATCACCCAAATGAGGTGCAGCCCTCCTGCTTCCAAATGGACTTGGTAGAAGCAGTCAGAAGCTTTTATCTTTGAGGACGCAGGTTTGAATTCTGTTCCACGGTGACTCTTCTCTACCACGTCTTGTCTTACCCACTCTGGTATTCATTGTTTTTTCTCCTTCAGATCTGAATCTTTGACCTTTTGACCTCCAGGTTCAAACAAACAAAGCTCTACCCCCCCCCCCCCCCCCCCCCCCCCTTTTCTGTGCACCACCCTTCAGATCGTATTTTTAACATATTTGTTAAGCCGTTAGTCAGAAAGAGGTCATTTCGCTGTGCATTTGGGTGCACTTTTGCATGAAAGTGCATTTATGTGCCTACAGCATAGAAAACATTGAGATTCCATTTGAATTAAGTAAACTTCTGAAGCCATTGGCTAGACCTCAGCTTTCCAGGGTTTCTACATGAAAACATATCCTAATTTTTGAGAAAGATTAAATAGAGATGACAGCATTGTTCTGCACCTGCCCTCAAACAGTGCCTGCACGTAGACAGCCACACTGTTTCATGGCTTTGGGAGGAAAGGACCCTTCGAAATTTAGGAAACTGTCTGGAGGAGGGAAAAAAGAAAGCGGGTGGAGAAATGGGGAAGGAAAAAAATGATTTTTTTTTTTTATTAGATTCACAGAGGCATGTAAAGTTTTTAGGTATTTGTTTTAACTTCTCTGCCAAACATTTTCTCAACAATCTACAAGAGGAGACTGTCTACTTTTTACCCCCAGAATGATTATGGCCATTTTGCCCATTTTCCCAGGAGAAACTCGGCACCAGTGTCAGCGGAGGAGTGAGGTCTGATCGTAAGACTGTAAACTTTAAGGAAACACTCAGATAAGCACAGAGATATTTATACACACAAGAAGCAGCCATTGTTTTTCAAAGCAGTGAAAGTAAAAGTTGTAACTCTGTAGCCCACGTATTGCTATGTGTGCATGTAGACCTTGCTGGCCGGTCCACCATTTGGAAAACAAACAACCCATTGAAAGAGTGCCTTTGGATGTATTTTTACCAGAAATTCTGTCCCTGTTTCCGTGCCTTGAAAAGTACAGTGTTAGTAGACCAGCCTTTGATAATCAAAGTAGAGAATGATTTACCGCACAGAAATGTATATGAAACACTTCTGTTCCTTGCCCCTTGAACTTTGGAAGAATGGAAACGTCTAGCACCCTCCACCTTCTTTTTCTTCTGGAACTTGACCTGCAATTTAAGTCCTCTTCCTTAGCAAAGTACCTGGCAGTCTTTTTACAGCTTTAGTCACAACGCTATTCAGAGAACTCACCGTCCTAAGGAGACGCAACAGCAACGTGTTTACACACAGTGGAGCATAGGCTGTTTGTTTAAAAGTACTGACAGTGGTCAAATGTCCTGTCCTTCCTCCTCCCTCTTGAAATGGGAAGGGACTCGAGCTAAACAGGAGGCAAGTGGGTACTGCACAATCTCCCCTCATACCCCAGGGTTGCCCCAGGGCCCTGACAGAGCAGAGGGCGCGCGTGGTCCCCTCTGTCAGTCAAGCTGTGCTCCAGCAGGTAGCTTGGTTGAAGAGTCTGTCTGAGGTCGGTCTTGGTAATGATAACACACTTATTATTTCCAGTCCAGTGCAAAATGATGGAGAGAAAACTTCAGAAGTGGAAGACCTGAATCCTAACATACTTCTTCATCTCACATAAGGCGGGGAAAGAAAAGGAGGGGGTGTGGGAGTCTCCTCTTTTAGTGTTTACCGAACTTGGATGCTTGGCAAACAGGGAGCATCGAGCTAATTGTTCTCGAAGCAGGAAATCTGTAGTAGAGGAAGCAGGTGTTGTGCGATGATTACCACATTTTAAAGTTACTGTGTTAACTACTTTGCTCTTTTGAGGCCGACCCTGAAATAGTAAGCTTTTTGGAAGGTCCTGTCCCTTTTATGTATGGACTGACCCTAAATCAGTTGATTCTGAAGGAAGGAGAAAGCGCTTAAGTGAACTTGAAACCAGATAGCATACGTGCAGCGGTGTTGACAGGATCCATTTTTCTTTATTTTCTTTATTTTTTATTTTTTGGCTTTCAGCATCCCATACTTTCCGAAAACTTGTGACTAAGAGTGAATTCTTATTTTTCAAATTGTTTTCAGACATTTCATGTTCATGTAAACTTGGCTTATTGATTTCCTGATTTTTCTTTATTTTTTTGTTTTGTCCATTTTATTTTTAATCAGCTACATCAAATGGGTCTTTGGAGGGCCTGGATAACCAGGAGGGAGGGGTGTGCCAGACAAGAGCCATGAAGATCCTCATGAAAGTTGGACAAGGTAAAGACCGTCTGCTCCATGAAGCCACCATAATCTGGTTGAGTCCCCAACGAGTGTGGCACCAATGCCGTGAACGCCCACCTTCATGCACTCGTAGCCTAGTTTCGAAAGCACATCTTTCTCTGCACCTTGAGCCACTGACAGATTTCCTCAAGTCGGTGTAACAAACTTCTTTTATTGGAGTTTCTTCTCACAGTTAAGGTCAGCCAGGTACAACGTCCATTGCCATATGTGTGTGTACGTGTATCTCTATACACACTTTTTTTTTTTTCCTTATTAAAAGCAAAACACCTCTTTGGTTCAAAAAAATTACACTACCCAGAGTGAAAACTTAGGTTTCTGCCATTTGGCCCATTTCTGCATCTCGAGTACAGAAGACTAGTTCACTGAGCCTTTTCCCACACAGATAACCTATTGTGCAGAAAGATTTATTCTTCTAATTAGAAATTGGTATAGTAGTCAGTCAACTTGCTCATTTAAATTGAAATGTCATCTGCAATGCTCTGCGTGCCAAATGCAAGAATCCCTATATTTTCCACAGATGGCCTCACGATCTGAACCTCTGACCTAAGTAGTACCACCGTTCCGTTTTAAAAGGAGAACTCTATTCTTGTATGTCACAGCACTTTGCATAAAGAATCTCACGTTCATTGCTGTCTGTGCCTCTTGAGATTGACACGCGGCAGTTCTTAGAGCTAGATCTCATTAGGTATCTGGGCTATAAGTAATCATTTGTTCCTCGTATAGATGCGAGTTCTGCTGGGTCAACCAGGCATAATGATCCGACACGACGCCCAGAACTAGAAGCCGGTACAAATGGAAGAAGTTCAACGACAAGTCCCTTTGTCAAACCAAATCCAGGTATGGCAGCGTGAGTGTGTGTGGATGCGTCCGTGGGTCCCGTGAGCAAGAGGCAGAACAGAGTCCAAGCCCTTGGATACTAGTGGATTAACTTGTAGTTCCCCAAGTCAGTAACCTTTGCTCGCAGGTACTTGTTATTAACGGCTCGATAAGAACAGAATTGCGCCTTCCCACGGAAGTTTCCCATTCAGAAGAGTAGAATTTATCAGATGCAAGTGCCAATTATGAGCACTACTCACTCAGACCAAGGTTATTTTTATTGGAGACACTTAATCGTGCCTGTTGCAACAGTAGAGTAGAGCTGATATTCACATGTATGTAATTAATGTTCTAATACCTCGCCTAATTATGTCTGATCCACAAAGAGCCTGATTGATCCTCCTCTACATTTTAGGTGGTGGCATCTTAAAATATCGCATAATGCCGTGTTCTTCGAGTGGTTACTGTTGACATTTTTGTTTCACATTTTCAGCGTAAAATAAAATACCAGTCGGATCACTGGCTGAAGTTTAGAATACAGGATAAAGTTGGCCGCCATTGAATTTCATTTTCGTACCGGTCCTTGAGCAGATAGCTACGTATTTATTTCCACGCTAATGACATTTCCGTATGGTAGCTGCTCCCCGACGTCAGCAGTCTCGTGTGAGGGACCATCGTGCCTGTTGGTGGCATGTGCAGTCAGCATCTGCAGGCCACTTCCCCCGCTTTACAAGCATCATGGAGGGAGCCTGTTGTTTCTAATTTTCAATGGCAAGATGTGTCAAATTCTTATGACACTCCGATAAATGGATAATCTAATGATGCCAGGCAAGTTTTTAGTGCTTCCCATTTGGGTTGGCAGCGTGTTCAGCGTGAGTGTTTCTGCTGCCTTCCCAATATATTTTAGGTGTAAACCAAATAATACAAGCGAGTTACGAGCGGCATGTGTTCCCAGGGCCCCAGGGTCCCCTCAGTGCGCAGCAGGCAGGGCTTGTCTATAGAAAGCAGGCGGCAGGAGATGCTCGGGAAGGCCGGCGCCCAGAGGGGCAAGGGGGCCAGCGCACGGCAGTCAGCCCTGGCCCCAGAGGTGGCCGCTTCCTTTGTGTCCACCTGCTGTGGCTGGCGGCGGTTTAGGACCTGGGGCGGAAGCGTGGGAGCCTGTCCCCTCCTGTCCCCAAGGGTGGACGGATGGGGACACCTGTGGTTGAGAGCGGCCGGCGAGCCCGGGTCCCGTCCGTGTCCCCTTTTGGGGCGATCGCCACGTCCTGCCGGGTGTGCGCGGCTGGGAACCGAGGCTGGGGGGCTGCCATCCGAGCAGGGACAGCAGTAACTGGGCCGCTCCTTTCCGTCCCCGGCCGCAGGTTCCAGCACAGACGGCAGCAGTGCCGGGCATTCGGGGAACAACATCCTCGGTTCCGAAGTGGCCTTATTCGCAGGGATTGCTTCAGGATGCATCATCTTCATCGTCATCATCATCACGCTGGTGGTGCTCCTGCTCAAGTACCGGAGGAGACACAGGAAGCACTCGCCGCAGCACACGGCCACGCTGTCGCTCAGCACGCTGGCCACCCCCAAGCGCAGCGGCAACAACAGCGGCTCGGAGCCCAGTGACATTATCATCCCGCTGAGGACTGCGGACAGTGTGTTCTGCCCCCACTACGAGAAGGTCAGCGGGGACTACGGGCACCCCGTGTACATAGTCCAGGAGATGCCTCCCCAGAGCCCGGCGAACATTTACTACAAGGTCTGAGACGCGGCGGTGCCTTCGCTTTCCCGGAGGAAGCCCACTGTCCCGCCACCGCCCCGAGGAGGGTTTGATGACCCCCCCGTGTCTCGAATGGACCGGAGCACGGCGGGGGAGAGGGAGCACTCCTTCTCGGAAGAGCCCTGTTGAGTTGGACAGCTTACCTAGTCTGTAGCGTCCGGACCGCGGTGAAGACAGACGCCCACCGCCGGCCGGGAGACTGGCGTGGAAGGTGCCCGATGGGACCGCAGCGCCCCCCTCCCCCCTCCACCTCCAAGCCATGCGCCGCGGTCACCTGGGCCTGCAGGAAGCCGAGGGCGACAGAGCGGCAGCGGGCGTGGGGGGGGCTGGGCGAGCCGTGAGCATCCGGGCAGGTGTCCCCCGGGGGCCGCGGGGCCTGGAAACGCCGCCTTCTGCCTTGGGCGTCCCTCCCGAGGAGCGTCCGGACTTGTCACACAGACCTCTGGCTGGGGGAGGCTTTCAGAGGTCCCGCGCCCAGTCCTCACCGTTGCACACACCCCTGCCGACCTCCGGGGCCCCGCAGCGCGAGCCCCTCACTCCACACCCCGCATCACTGCTGGCACACTCACCTTGGGAGTCTCCTGCCCCCGCACCACGGCAGCTGGAGCCGATGGGTCCTACACTTCTAGAAATTGCGTCTGCCACTAAGGAGCCTTCAGCTGCGGAAGACCAGAAAGACCAGGAGCTCATGGAAGGGGGCGGGCCGGGATGGGGGTGGGGGTGGGGAGGGCTGTCTGCAAATGCAGTTCAACGCTGCTGCTGGTGCGTCAGGAGCAGAAAGTCGAGGGGGAACCCCAATTAGGTAGCACAGCACTTTGGTTGGCTGAGGTTTTAAGAGGCAAGTAGGAGACACCACGCACGCGGTGGGGTGGGGCGCCTTGGAAGGGATCCGCCGATCAAATGGCAACGCGCAGGAGGAGCACAGTCTCTCTCCGCTGGGTAGGACAAAGGGGCATTGTCGTAGAGGGGCGGGCCGGGAGGGCCGCCGATGACAGATCTGGGCAGGACTGTTGTCGTACTGGCAATAAGGCGCACGGCCTCGGCGCTGTAGGAGAGTCGGTCGGCTTTGGATGATGTCTGAAGCAGACTCAGCTGCTATACTGATCACATTTTATGAAACACAGGGAAAGCATTTAGGAGAACAGCAGAGAGCCGGATCTGAGCTAGAAGTTTACAAGCCAAAGGTCAAACAGGCTGTGATTCCATCATCATCCATGTTATTGAGGCATTCTCCTATGTGAAAGGTAGGTCAGATTGGGGGGGGGGGGGCCCGCCAGTGCCCTCCCCCCGCACCCCCACTTGAGCCTCACGACACTTTGGTTTATGGCGGTGCTGTCCTGTCCGGCTGCAAGGACGGACGCGGAGGTACTGAGCAAGGCCACAGCCCGCACGCTGTGTCCAGGTGACGCATACTGCGAACTTCTTTGAGTCCTTAAGACGGAAATAAATCATGATGTCGAGGGGGGAGGAAGATGGCACGTATTTATAACAGGTATATAGAACACAAGGGATAGGAACTGACAGATTTGTACTAATATATATTTTAAGATTGCACACAAATCACACCAGAAAGACGTGAAATTCACTTGTGGCAATTACGTGGTCCCAACGCTCAGTGCTTAAAAAAAGAAAAATTGGACAGCTCCATCTGGGAAAAACAACATCACTCCAAAAATAACAATAACGGGAGTAAATACAAAAATAACCCAGTCCTCTGAAGGCATCTCACGTAACCGTAGACTAGGAAATACAAGCCCTGCATACCAGGAAATGGATGTTACCGCATCGTATATTTAACAGTGGCAAGATGTTCCGGCATTTCATTTCTGTGTTGTGTATTCCCTTGCCTTATGGCTGAAGTGTTCGCTAAAATCCACCGGGTCCCCTCAGAGGGGGCTTAGGGCTGAAAGTTTAGCTCCGGCCCCCTTCCCCCACCCCCTCCCCGCCCCCTCCCTTTTGGGAAACAAAACGAGTAAACAGGAAACCTACTTTTTATGTGCTATGCAAAATAGACATCTTTAACATAGTCCCGTTACTATGGTAACACTTTGCTTTCTGAATTGGGAGAAAAAAAAAATGTAGCAACAGCATTTTAAGGTTCTCAGACCTCCAGTGAATGCCTGCAAAAATGAGTTGTCACCGAAATTATTCCTTCTCTATTTCCTGAACCTGAAAATGATGTTGGTCCAAAGTGCGTGTGTGTGTGTGTGAGTGGGTGAGTGGTATACATGTGTACATATATGTATAATATATATCTACAATATATATTATATATATCTATATCATAGTTCTGTGGAGGGTTGCCATGGTGACCAGCCACAGTACATATGTAATTCTTTCCATCACCCCACCCTCTCCTTTACGTGCATTCGTACAAGATTTTCTTGTAAGCCATCAAAAATTACCTTTCGGATGGGGGAGAGGGGCAAGAAGGGGAAACATGGGAAATAGTCTGATTTTAATGAAATCAAATGTGTCTCATCGGTTGGCTACCTTTTGGTTATATGCTAAACTGTGAAAAATCAGATGAATTCGATGAAGAGTTACCTGCAACCAATGGAAAAGTGTTCTGTGCGTCTGTTTTGTGTCTGGTGCAGAATATGACAATCTACCAACTCTCCCTTTGTTTGAAGTTGGTGCCGCTTTGGAAAGTTACTGTAAATGCCTTGCTTGTATTCTCATCCCTAGTCACCTGACTTTGGAATTTGCACCGTAACGTTTAACTGAAGATGCTGTAAATAGGGTTCAGATTTTACTGTATATGGATTCGGGGTGTTACAGTAGCCTTATTCACCTTTTTAATAAAAATACACATGAAAACAAGACAGAAATGGCTTTTCTTACCCAGATTGTGTACATAGAGCAATGTTGGTTTTTTATAAAGTCTAAGCAAGATGTTTTGTATAAAATCTGAATTTTGCAATGTATTTAGCTACAGCTTGTTAAACGGCAGTGTCTTTCCCCCCTTTGCACTGTAATGAGGAAAAGAAAAACGGTATAAAAGGTTGCCAAATTGCTGCATATTTGTGCCGTAATTATGTACCATGGATATTTATTTAAGATTTCGTTGTCCAATTTGTAAGTAACACAGTATTATGCTTGAGTTATAAATATTTTTGTTCTTTCTTCATTTTATTTTAATGGCCTGTCCTAGGTTTCCAGCCTCCTTCCACATTGCAGTCAGCCCCCAGAAACGGAATCCGTGAGGTCCCATTCCACGTCTGTTTCAAACTGAATTTGTTCTTAAAAAAATAAAATATTTTTTTCCTATGGAAAAAGCGCCTTCAAAGTATTTTCCTTTCCTTCCTTTTTCTTTTCTTTTTTTTTCTTTTTTTCGCTTATTTTAATTTGCTTTCTGCTCTGTTTCTCTATAATTAACAGTTATCCAGAGACTTCTGCCCGTGGGCACCTGTGTGCCCATTTTTTCCCAGTCAGGACACTCGCATAACGTGAATGTGAACCTTGCAGAGGGCCACGAGGGAGCCCATTGGTTTCCCCATAAAACTCGAGCTCACATTTCACAAAATCATCTGATCATAAAGTTTTGTAAAGTCCTAACCACCCTGAACAGAAAACCTCCCTAGTCTCCCTGGATCCCCCAGTCTCGAGTAGTGACCTAAGTAAGTGACCAGAGGAAAGGGAGGCAGGCAAATGGACTTTAGTTATCTCAACGCCTAATTCCAAATCTAGTTTCCACTCAAGCAAAGCAGTTTGCTGTCGAAGCCTTCATTTTTCCTCACAGCAGGGTCCCGGAAGGAAGGAAGGAGTCCAATGTCCTTTGTACGACGTTAGCGCTGATGAAACCATGCTTTGTGACACCAGATTGAAGCAAGCCAGAGGCCAGTGGTGACTTTTAACCGCGTTTTCAATGCTGGCCTTCCTGGGGAAGATGGCCGGGGGTTGGGGATGTCTTCCCCTGCGCTGGTGGGCTTGGGGTCTTAAGACTGATCTGCAGACTGACTCCCCACCCTCCGGGGAGACCTTCCTCACCCGCAGGTGTGGAGGGCAGAGCGGCAGACAGGGCAGAAGCGGCTACCGGTGACCAGAAAGTGCTCAGATCTCTGGCTGCGTTACCTCGGGCCCCTCCTTACCTTAGGAGGGGGGTGCGTCCGGATGGGGAAGGCCCCAGCACAGAGGAGCCCGATGCTCCAGACTGTCTAGCCACAGATCACAGCCCCAGCCAAGTGAAGAATTCCAGTGTTTGAAAAGCCCCACCCTCCCCCCAAGAACGCCTCACGAAAGGCTGGTTTTAGAGGCAGCGATCTCAGCAGCATCTTCCTAGCGTACCTGTACTAAAGAAATGTTTGTGGCATAAATGCTTTCCTTCCCCCTCCTCCCCGCCCCGGGCTTCTCCAGGAGCCCACGATTTCAGGTGGCGCTGGAATAATAGTTCCATCCACTCCATCATTTTCCTCCGCGGCGCCTACCTGCCCCTTCACGGCAAATCCAAGTTCCAGGGCACAACTTACAGCCAAGTGACTAAGCAGAAAGTTCCACCCTACATGCCAGTATCACTAATGAGCGGTCTGGGTAAAATGAAAGAACAGCCAAGTAAGTACTGCGTTTGCAACTTACATCGTGGCCTTTGCGAGATTACAGCTTAAATTACCAAACACCCCACCTCATTGTTTCCACCCTCTTTTCGAAACTGTGTTTCCCAAATTGGGCAAGCCGAACTCCACTAAGAAGTGAAATGCACCCACTTGTATTCTTTCTAACTGGTGGGAAGGACGCTTACAGAAACTTCTCCCGGAGGTTGTCACAATCAGGTGCTCTTAGTTCTGTCTGAAAGGTAAGCAGGCTGCTGTAAAGTCCCTGTGCTCTCCACACCCGCCACTTTTCCATCCCACTCTTCAATTGTCAGGTTCCTTTTTGGCACAACAGTTGCCCCTTCGAACACTGTGATAAAGGCGCCCGGTGGAAATCAGAAAAAAATCAAACTATCAGTCACCAGGTAACTGCTGTGCACCTTGCTGTCAGTCTCTGATCCTAACCCAGAGAAGAATCAGTGAAAGTTAAAAAACAACCCAGAGAAGTAAAAGTCGTTTCTCTAAAGTGTGTAATAAAAGGATGATCACCCTACTCTTTCCTTGGGAAGCAAATACGGCGTCAGATGCCTCAAAAGGAAACATACTTGCTGCTGTTGTGCAAAGGACATTAACCTGTGTGTTCCGCTGGTTTTGGTTTCCAGTTGGTTTCGGATAATGTTTGTGGTATTTATGCTATAGATGTACTTGAAGGCGATTTTTTTTACGTTTGAGAGACGGAGGGTGGGTGGGGGAGGGGCAGAGAAAGAGGGAGACACAGAATCCGAAGCAGCCTCCAGGCTCTGAGCTGTCAGCACAGAGCCCGACGCGGGGCTCGAACTCACGGACCGCGAGGTCATGACCTGAACCGAATTTGGATGCTTAACCGACTGAGCCACCTAGGCGCCCCTTGAAGGCAAATTTTCAGCATTGTAATGGCAGAGTCTTGCCTATCGTACTGATTATTTTTCTAGGTAGAGAAGTATTCATCAGTGATGGGGAGGATGTTGAGATACTGTATTTATTTGTAATAAAACATAGCATACCAGGAGGAGGAATCAAGTTTTGAGTGATTAAACCGCACCCCAGAAGCGAAGGATGCGTGCCACTCTAAGATTTTTATGCTGTGATACATTAACAAAATCTCTTCAAAACAATTCTTGACATTAATTACATTTTCAAAAACAACCAACACCCTCATGAGAAGAATGCCCATCTATAGACGTACACAGTATGAGGGAAATAATACCAACACAGTTTCTGAGCAATCATCATAGATGGTCGATACATGCGTTAAACGCGGGAAAGGGGAGACCTCGCTTGTGGCTGTGTTTCTGCCACTGATGCTTCCTCGGTCTTCCAGAGCGTCCCAACACGTTCTGTGCGCAGCCGCCTCACCTGCAAAGCGAGAGGGTGGGACTCCCACGCGCTGAAGTTCACTTGTAACTTCTGCACGATTTGCAGTCAAGCCGCCCGCCTTGCAGCTGAACAAAAGTGCCTTGATGTAAACTGCTCCTTCTCCCGGCATCCCTGGGGCAAAGCTCTGAAGAACGACGGGGGTTCACAGTCGCACCCTGCCCACTTTGGGCTGCCCTTGACCATCCTCCCACCTCCTCCAACAGGAACCCACACGGGGCTCAGGGCCCTGCTGTCCCCTGCCCCTTCCTGGCGAGGAAGGAAAATTCAAATAGAGACACTAACTGGCGGTGGATGCACGCTGGTCGCTATGCTCCTGGGTTTGCAGCCTTTTACTCATAATTGTTAACTAGATCTTTTCTTCTTCATTTACACACGTTTTCAGGTCACTGCAAGCAACCCCCCCCCCCCCAGCTTCTATTTAAATACTTCGTGGGAGGGACGCCTGGGCGGCTCAGTCGGTTGAGCGTCCACTCTTGATTTTCCGCTCTGGTCGTGATCTCACGCTTCACGGGATGGAGACCCACATCGGGCTCTGCGCTGAGTGTGGAGCCTGCTTGGGATCCTCTCTCTCTCTGCCCCTCCCCCGCTCACACGCACGTGCGCACACTCTCTCAAAAAAACTTTCAAGTGCATACATGCATACTTCGTGGGGACCCACCTTGGGCCAAGCAGCAGTGTTGGTGGCAGTCTCTTCCACCAGCCTTGCTCCATTTCCCTGTAGACTTCAGACTCACTCGCTTACTATTTGATTCTTTCCATGCTGGCATCTGGAGCACATCCCTGTTAGGTATACCTCCTCTATTGTTTATACCTCTGCTTCTGTTATAAAGGGCAAAGAATCGTATGACTGAAGAAACATCTTTTAGTTGATAGTAGAGCCATTCTTTCCCAAGCACCATTGGTACTTCATACATGACAAGAGTTTTCTATGTGTGTGTTTTGTTTTCAGAGCCATGGGGACTCTATCTTAAAAAGTCCAAGGACAGTAGGGGGGGATAAATGTCATCAAAGACAATCGCTTAAAATCAACTGAAATCTTAAGCAAAACCCAACAAGACTGCCCTTCAGGTATATCATTTATTTGTTGTTTTTTTTTTTTTTTCAACGTTTATTTATTTTTGGGACAGAGAGAGACAGAGCATGAACGGGGGAGGGGCAGAGAGAGAGGGAGACACAGAATCGGAAACAGGCTCCAGGCTCCGAGCCATCAGCCCAGAGCCCGACGCGGGGCTCGAACTCACGGACCGCGAGATCGTGACCTGGCTGAAGTCGGACGCTTAACCGACTGCGCCACCCAGGCGCCCCTGGTATATCATTTATTTGTATACAAGGGTGTCAATAATGCAACCTGAAAGGGAGACCCAAGAGAGTGGTGGAAATTAACGTCTGGCTCTAAGATCCACCAAAGGGGAGAAAACTAAAATGAAAGAAAAGCCAACAAAACGCTACAGAAGGAGCTGGTCGTGGCTTCCCACGCCCTCCACTTGGCTAAGTATCTGGTCTCCCGGTTCTTCCCCATCTGGTGAGTCTGTGTGTTACTCAAGCCGCTAAGGAAGATGCGACAGGTTTCCGTACACGTAACTCCCGATTTCTGTGTCTTCCGTGTGTAGTTTTAATGCAGTTCGGATTGCGTTATATCCTTTGGCTGAAGTGCCATGGGACCCCGAAGCCCAGTCGGCAACCCAAATCTTCCGCGAATAACAATTAGGAATCTCACACGCCATCCGAAGGGAAGGAGTGACAGTTACAACCCCTGGAGGTTGTATTCCTGGAGCATCTTCTTAAAAAAAAAAAAAGTATTAGTCTGTTAGTAGACTTCTTTTCATCACCTGCGGGTTAAATTTCTTTATGTTCCCCGAGGGTTAAATTTCTTTCCTTTTAAAATTTTTTTTTCAACGTTTTTTATTCATTTTTGGGACAGAGAGACAGAGCATGAACGGGGGAGGGGCAGAGAGAGAGGGAGACACAGAATCGGAAACAGGCTCCAGGCTCCGAGCCATCAGCCCAGAGCCCGACGCGGGGCTCGAACTCACAGAGTGTGAGATCGTGACCTGGCTGAAGTCGGACGCTTAACCGACTGCGCCACCCAGGCGCCCCTTTCTTTCCTTTTAAATCTTTCATTACATCTATGCCAACTGGCTGGTTAGGATGCTAAATTTAGTATAACTGTTCCTCCAAACATCTCAGGAGTTTGCCTTAAGTGCCTGCCTCTGGCCTTAAAGGGCAAATCAAAACATTTCCAATTGGTTTCCAGCCCACACTGCAATGTGTACGTGTGTGTGAAGGACTGCTTCTTGGCTATAATTGGTAGTTTTCCTCTAGCTCGTCCTGAG